TAACTCCGGGGATTTTGATATTTTCTAGTTTACACAGATTTTTTTAATTGCTTTCATTTTCAGTTATATATAGTCCATTTAGTGTAAAAAAATCCATCTTAAAAAAAATACAATTTCACAATTATCCCTTCCCACATACCCATTGACTACTCTCCAGAGATTCCGTGTCCAGCTATGCTGAACCTCCCATTATTGCCTCCTGCCTGATCATTATTAACTTGCTTTGTTATGTTTTGGTGTTAACCATCCCTGTATCAGTGGTTCTTAACTCGTGGGTTGTGACCCTTTGGTAAATCTCTATCTCCAAAAATATTTAACATTACAATTCCTAACAATAGCAGAATTACAGTTAGAAGTAGCAACAAAAATAATTTTATGGTTGGGGATTACCATGTGAAGAACTGTATTTTTAAAGGGTCTTGAAATAAGAAGATTGAGAACCACTGCCTTTGTGACACTATTTTTTACCATCTGCAATTACCTTTTACCTTCTGGCTATTCTCATTTAAGATGTGTTATATACTGTTACTTTTTGATTTTTTTTTTTTTAAGGAAGTTTGATGTAGCTTAGGCTGGCTTTTTACTCTGATTGTCCTGCCTCTACCTCCCAGGTATTAAAATTAAAGATGTGGGTCACTATAGCCAGCTAGTTACTAATTTTTTCCTCTATAACTTCTTTTAGGAAGTACTTTTAAATTTTTAGTAATTACCTCCCTAGCCAGTTGTCTTTCATTTATGCACATTTCTCTCTCTCTCTCTCTCTCTCTCTCTCTCTCTCTCTCTCTCTCTCTCTTTTTTTTGGTTTTTCGAGACGGTTTCTCTGTGTAGCTTTGGAGCCTATCCTGGCACTCGCTCTGGAGACCAGGCTGGCCTTGAACTCATAGAGATCTGACTGCCTCTGCCTCCTGAGTGCTAGGATTAAAGGCGTGAGCCACCAACCCCGGCTGTGCCTATTTTCTCTTAATATGATCAAATACATTTGTTAGGACTTTGGCTTTTTACACAGGTTGTTTTGTAGCCGGGGGTGGCTTTGAATTTCTGCTGCTTCTTGCCTCTACTTGCCAAGTTTTGGGATTATAGGTGTATGCTACCACTCGTGATTACATTGTTAACTTTTAAGAATGTCTTTTATTTTTCAGCTTGAATTGGTTAAATCTCCAAGTTTGTTGAGTTGTATTATTTTGCCTTTTTATTGATTTGCCATTTCTAGGTATCTTCTCATGAAAGTGTATGGGGGAATATATTTCTGGAGCTCTTCTATACCATACTCAATGCATAGCTGGATACAGAATTCCAGACTGTCATTATTTTGCATTATAAAGGCACTAGCCTATTGTTCTCTATTTTCTTAATGTTGAGAAATGCAGAGTTATTCTGAAGAGTATTTGTCAATTTTTTATCTCAGACCTCTTTGTTGCATCTTTATTGTGGGTATCTACTGTTCTGGGTACTCTGGATTTTCATGTGTGCATAGTCAAGTTTTTTTCCTGTGTTTCTGAAAAAAACACTATTTATATGTAGATTCCTCCAACTGTCTTTCTGATACAGTTAATTAAAATTTTAAATGTTAGGCAACACAGTATGACACTAAATATTTACTTTTATGTGTTTGGGTGTTTTGCCTGCAAAAGTATATATATCATGTGTATGCCTGGTGCCCACAGAGTCCAGAAGAAAACATCAGGTCCTTTGAAGAGCTGTCAGTGTTTTGACAGTTGAATCAATTCCCCAACCCTTGGTAAAGTTATTTTGATGTGGGGGGCTTCCTGAGTCAATTTCCTAAAATTTTCATAGTTGCTCTTTTATCTCTCATCTCCTGGGAGATTTTCTCAGCTGTGTTTTCTGTTTCCTCTTTCCTCCTTTGTGTGTGTGTGTGTGTGTGTGTGTGTGTGTGTGTGTGTGTGTGTAGTGTGTAGTGTGTAGTGTGTGTGTGTTTTGCCTTGGGTCAAACCCAGGGTCCTAAGCACCTTTGTCAATTTCCATTTTCAACCATGTTTTCAGTTATTTTTTTCTTTTCTATTTCTAAAGTCTTAAGAGCCCTTTTGTCATCTGAATGTTCCATTGTTTTGCTGCCTTTCCAGTTAAAGACTTACCCAAATTCTTGGCTGACTGCTTTTTAAGGAAGTATATGTTTGTGCTTTTAGGTGTACTGTGATCAGTATACTGAGAGATCATTGATTTTGGTTAGATTTCCTTTTCTTTCATACATAAGATTCAAGGTTTGTCCTCTTATTCAAGGATATTGGCCAGGCTGCCACCTTTCTTGAGTAAAGCAGGAAAAGAAAGCTTATGGCTTCAATTCTCAGTACATACACTGAAATTGCTGCTTTTGTAGGATAGCCACACCTTTTACTGTGCTTACTCTACAAGCCAGCTTCCATTTATTTATTCTTAGATCTTATTACCAGCTTTGGAGTTGTTCCTTGGTTACACAAGAGGAAGAGTGTGTTGAGGTCTCTGCTTCATAGGTAGTCTTGTGACTGCCCCACTTTGACCTCCATATTCAGAATTGCCTGGTGTCATTGCAATTTGAATCTTCTGGGCTTCCCACGATGCAACTCAAGTCACTTTCCTGTACTTTGGGATTAATCTTTATTTTGTATTTGTTACCTTTTATCTGCAGTAGGCTTTCACTTTTCCAACATTTCCTCATACTCAGGAAGAGAGGCTATTGCTTATGCACCCCCTCCCACCTTTAAAAGACCTTCTTAATGTACTCTTTATGTGGCTTTAAGCTTAATGTGTAGCTAGGGTGGTTTTAAATTCCTGATCCTGTATCTGTTTCCAAGGAGCTGTGTCATAGGCAAGTATTATGAAACCTGTCTGTATACTACTATTCCCGTATAACTGTTTAGGAAGTTTTATCATGGTTTTGGTTTGTGTGTATACATTTGTTTAGCTACTCTTGTGGCAATTTTCTTTTAATCTGTTTAGATACATGAAGTTTTTGAGACAGTATTTCATTTAACTCAGACTGTCCTTGTACTCTTGCCAGTGTGGTCCTGAACTGATCTCCTGCCTCCACCTCCCTAATGGCTGGTTAAGGTCATATATATAATAAGGCCATATACATATATAAAAGCACACAATCACACATATATGAGTGCTAATACTCCGACTGAATCTATTTTTCTTCCAGGTGATGACATTCCATTCATGAATATAGGAACTTCCTGGGTCTTCTTTATATTCTTTTATTTCAAAACACAGACAGGAAATTACAAAGGAATGGGAAATGATCTATAAACTTGTTTTCATTACATCATTCCTATAACTAATGTCATGGTTTATGCTTTTCATATATAAATATTTGCAGGTGTTTCACCCTTCACTTTTGACAGATTTTTGTAGAGATAGAGATGTAGCTCGTGGCAAAGCCAGCACAAAGTTTCAGTTTGTACCCAAGTCTTTTCCTTGAGAATTGACATTTCTCACTGGGCCTTCTGCATGCTTGGCAAGTACTCTACCATTATGCCACATGCCTAGCCCAGTTACTCAAATATTTATTGTGCTACTCTACCCACCTCCTTTTAAAGACAGACAGAGTCATACTTTTTGTCTCAGGATGATGAACCTGAAGCAGGCCTTGGCTGCAGGCAAATCACCACCATGTCTACCTTGCTGTTTGAAGGAGCATCTGGCTGTGCCTCAGCTCTGGAGTGTGGCATTTAGAGGTGTGGGCCCTCATGCTCTTTTAAGAACTAGAAAGCTAGTAAAACTAAGCTAGGCAAATGGTCTTCCTACAAACGGGTGAGACTGAATTAGTTTTGGAGCCTGTGCAGGCAAAATTGGTGATCCTGACTGGATTGTAAACTCCAAATACTGTCTTCGTCCTGCCCCCTCGTACCCGAGGCTGTGTGGTCCTTTTAAAAACTATTTTTTGTTTCTTTGCATAACCGGGGCTGGCCTTGAGAACTCGCTATTTTCTTTCTTTTTTTTTTTTTTTCTTCGAGTCAGGGTTTCTCTGTGTAGCCCTGGCTGTCCTCGAATTCACGGAGATCCGGCCTCTGCCTCCCGAGTGCTGACATTAACGGCCTGCGCCATCACCGCCCGGCAAACACGCTATTTTCTTGCATACTAATACGATTACAGGCACACACCACCACACCTGGCTTTCCTTCATTTTTTTTTTTTTTTTAAGGATCAATTCCAAGAACAGTTGCTAGCTTCTAAGCTCGAATACTAAGTAGCGTTTACAGAGCACTTTGTGGCGCTCAGTTTAGCTTCGCAAACCCTTCCTAGCAGGGGCTCCGAGGTCACGAGCTGGTCGGTTTACATTGTTAACGGTGCAGCCCTTGCTGCAAGGAACCCGGTGCTTGACCTGCGCCCAAGTGACGCTCGGTCTGGCTGGAGGCTCCGGCGCCTCTCTGGAACAACGTAGGGCGTCCAGCGGAGCACACACCGGATACCACTTCAGTCTGGGACTCTGAGAACAATTCTCACCAAGGCTGTCGTCAGCACCAAATCTCGTCTGCGGGTCTCTGACCACGGCCGCATGAGACCTCCAGCCGGCCGAGGCCAGGGCTAGGAGGAGGAGCCCTTTCCGGCTAGGCCTGCTGAAGCTGCTCTTCAGCAGAGCCCACGATAGAATAACGCGCGCCGGCCCGCTTTACGGCAAAGGTGCGCGCGTTTGCGACAGCATGACGCAAGCAAGTTTTGGCGGGAAAAGTTCTGCATTTGGAGTCCTGTGGCAGCTGGCAAAGGACTGCTTGGCGAGAAGAGCGTCCCGAACAGTGGGAAAGGACTCCTGCGAAGGACTCGGAGGTCTTGATTAGTGCGGACGGGCACGGTGAGGGAGTGGTCGTGACGACCGGAGAGATGGGAGGGCCTCCCGGCGTGCGGGCTGGAGCTGGTGGCCCGCGGCTCTCCAGCGTAAAGGGAACAGAGCTGTCTGTGAGCCTTCAGAGTTCGCACACCTTTCCGGCTCTTGGGGTCCCTGCCTTCCGCTCGCTCCACAGTTCGGCCCCGCCCCCTTCCCTCCGCGTCTTGGGGACACGTGCCGTTGGGTGGAAATTGAAAGGGAGCGGATGGGAGGAGGGGCTGCGCTGTCAGTAATTACGGTAGTTACTCACACCTACGTCCCCTGTCCCCCACCCCTGCGCTCTCTGCCCGCTACTCCTCCCCCCGGCCATTCTCCGGGAAGCCTTTGTCTCCCAGCCTCCGATCCCAGCTAGTGTTCAGTTGTGCATAAAGGCGGTGGACAAACGTGGCTGAACAGGAGTTGTGATATACAGGGCAAACATGCCTAAATTTAGTATTGTGACTTGGGCAAATATGGATGGGATGTAAGGGCAAACCAAAGTTGTGTGGAATCAAGGCAAGAGGCATGGCTCAGTGGCATTTCAAGTGATGAGAATTCACACTCCTCCCCCGTATTTCCTGGGATCCTGCATTTTACAGCCGCTGTGTTTGGAGTCATGGCAGTACCATTTGTGGAAGACTGGGACTTGGTGCAAACTTTGGGAGAAGGTGCCTATGGAGAGTAAGTTTGAGCCCTCATTTAAATTTTTTATTATATTTATTAGTGTGTGTTTGTTATGCCACGGTGAGCACGTGGAGGTCAGAGGACAACTTGTAGGAGTTGGTTCCCATGAGAGTTCAGAGAATTGAACTCGGATTATCAGCAAGTGGCTTTACCTGCTTAGCCATTATCTTTATGGCTTCCCTAGTTTAAATTTTATCTTGCCAGTGTGCTTGCTTTAGTTTTCCATCTGCAGTTTTGAGTAGACATAAAAAAAAATCCTTTATTACAAGTGGCAAAGAGAATGGATATTTGCATTTGTAAATCAAGGCTCTTAGCAAGTGAAGTTACATATACTCACCCACTTGGCCTATTTTGTGATACTGGGGAATTGAACCTAGGGTGTCACACATGCTGGGTGAATGCTCTACCACTGAGCTACAGCCCTAGGCCTTAAAAACAACAAACAAACAACAACACCCCCCCCATTTCTTTTATTTGTGTTTGTTCAGATGAACATTTTATTAAATTGTCAGGTTGGCCTTGAACTTGTGGTACACTGTTGCTTACACAGGTATTACAAGCCTGCTTTAAGTCAACCCAGCTTTTTAAAAAATTTTCTTTTCCTAAGAATTACAAGACTATTAGTTTTTTCCCTATAAAACCGTGTGTCTTAGAATTTAAATGAGATAATGAAAAGTCCCTGGAGGCATCCTACCTTAGCAGATCCTCAGACTTTGCAGATCCTGTTTGTGTTTTGTGTCCTTGAGCAAGCTTTATGTGCCTGTGTTTCCTTGTCTGAAGATAGAGTTGATAGTACCTACCTGATAGTATCTACCTGCATGCACTAGGTAATGACTTTCTTGGAGCTTTAACTGTAATACTTCACATTTCCTTTCATTTCTTTTGAGAACATAGCAGAAACCATGTCATTTTCCTTGAAAAAAATAGTGAAGGAAAAATATTTTGTGAAGTATTATATTTTATCTTTTGAAGTTTTTTCTTTTTAAGGTTTATGCATTTTTAGAGGGCTGGAGAGAGATGGCTCAGCAGTTAAGAGCTCTGCCTGTTTTTCCAAAGGTCCTGAGTTCAATTCCCAGCAACCATATGGTGGCTCACAACCATCTGTAATGAGATCTGGTACCCTCCTCCAGCTGCAGGCATACATGCAGGCAGAACACTGTATACATAATAAATAAATCTTTAAAAAAAGATTTATGCATTTCTATATGTATGAGTGTTTATCTACACATTAGTGTACTACATGTGTACACTACTGACCAAGGCCAGCAGAAGGTGGGATCCCCCACACCTGGGATTAAAGATGGTTATGAGCTACTACAGTGTAGGTGCTGGGAACTGTACCCAGGTCAGAAGCAAGTGCACTTAACTACTGAGTCATCTCTCCAGCCAGATGCTCCCCACTTCTGTCCCCTCCCTGTTTTGTTTGCAGAGAGTTGTCTCATTGTGTAGCTGCCTGCCTCAAATTTCAAGAGCTCTGCCTGTCTCTGCTTCTCCAGTACTGGGATTAAAGACATGTGCCACTACACCCTGCTAGTTGTGGATGGGAGGTGGGGCTGCGTTTGCTTGTTTGTTTTATTTGGTTTGTTTTAGAGAGTTTCTTTCTTTGTAGCGCAGTCTGGCCTTGAACTTGGACCCTTTTGCCTTTGTCTCCAGAATGCTGGAATTACAGGCATGTATCACTAATCTTTTGAAGTTTTAGGAGAAATGGAATTCAAATGTGGAAATTTTTAACATACACTCTCTCTCTTTCTCTTTAAAGAGTTCAACTTGCTGTGAATAGAATAACTGAAGAGGCTGTTGCAGTGAAAATTGTAGACATGAAGCGGGCCATAGACTGTCCAGAAAATATTAAGAAAGAGATCTGTATCAATAAGATGTTAAATCATGAGAATGTAGTGAAATTCTATGGTCACAGGAGGGAAGGCAATATCCAGTATCTATTTCTGGAGTACTGCAGTGGAGGAGAGCTTTTTGATAGAATAGGTATGGAAAAATTTTAACACAATTATTTCACTAAGCAAATTTATGAACTATTTGTGCATCTGTGTGTATTTCAAGAGATAAAACCGAGGGCCTTTCCATAGGCTCTTCAAGTGGCCTACTACTAAGCCACATTTTCAGTTTTGTTTCATTTATTTATTTATTCAATATTGTTATTTTGTGTGCATTGGTGTCTCACCTGTCTGTTGTCTGTGTGAGGGTGTTAGATCCCTTGGAATTGGAGTTACAGACAGTTGTGAGCTGCCAACTCATACTGAAATGGCAGTCATACTGAAATGATGAGAAAAACAGGAACTGTTTAAAATTGACTTATTTATCTTAGGGTGTTTTATATTTTGTGTACTTTGTCCATGCCTGGGGTCCACGGAGGCATTCCTGGTGCTGTAAGAGACCAAAAGAGGGCACTGGGTCCCTTGGAGCTGGAGTTAGAGATGGTTGTGAGCTGTGTGGGTGTTGAGAATCAAGTCCTGGTTCTCTGGAAGAGCAGTCAGTATTCTAAACTGCTAAGCCATCTCTCCAGCCCTGAGTTTTGTGTTTAAAAGAAGTAGGGGGAAATATGATGGACACCAAGCCCATTGTTGTTAGTATAAGATTAAAATACTTTGATGCTTTTATTATTTTCAAATATTTATATATTTTCAAATATTTATTATATTTATAGGCAGATGTGAGTCATTTAGTAATTATTTGTTAATTAGACTTGAATCTTGTTAGTATAAGTTTCTGTTTGCTTTAGTACAAATATAACTGAGATATGGAGTAAGAGCCTGTATGGTAGATGTCTGATTATATATTTTCAGTAGATATCAATATTTATTTCTTACAGAGCCAGACATAGGCATGCCTGAACAGGATGCTCAGCGATTCTTTCATCAACTCATGGCGGGGGTGGTAGGTACCATAGCCTTTTACACTTTGCTTAAAATTAGCACCAGTAGGTGAGTTGCTAAATTCTACTGTTTCTACCCCCACTTAGGTTTATCTGCATGGAATTGGGATAACTCACAGGGATATTAAACCAGAAAACCTCCTCTTGGATGAAAGGGGTAAGATTTCATTTTGTTGATGTTATTTTATTATTATTATTATTTTTTAGGTTAGTCATATAGGCCTGATCAATACTGAAATCCTGAGACAAAAAAAAAAAAAATCAGAAATCTAATAATTTATGGAAATTTGGGAGACTCACTGTATTTGAACTTCACAAGTCTTTAAGGACATAGTTGTAGATGAGGTAGAGAAATACCTGGAATAATGAATGTCTTTCAAACCCATTTGTCAGTTCTTGGGGAGCCCTTACCAGTGTCTATCTACATCTTGGGGTTGCTTGCTTTTCTCTAGCAGTTCATTCAGAAATTAAGGTTTCATCTTAAGGGCTTTGATCTATTTTGGACATGGTTTTGGGCAAAGTATGAGAGATGAATTTACTGTCATCCTTTCCAATGTGGTTATTAACTTTTCCAGCCATTGTGTTCATGGTGCTGACCTTTTCCAGTTACATGACTATGGTTAGGGGCTGGAGAGGTAGGTGCACCAGAGGATAAAAAAAAAAAAAAAACACTGGCTGCTTTTCCAGAGAACCCTGGGTTCCAGATTCCTAGCAACCAAGGTGGCAACTCACATCAGACTGTAGCTCCAGTGCCAGAGGATCTGACACCCTCTTCTGGCCACCACAATGCACAGGCATAAGTGCAGGCCAAACACCCATACACATAAAATAAAGGTGAAGGAAAATCCCTGAGAAGTGGCTCACGCCTCTAATCCCAGCACTGGGGAGGCAGAGGTGGGTGGATCTCTGTGAGTTCAAGTCCACCCTGGTCTACATAGTGAGTTCCAGGACAGATAGGACAATGTAGAAAGACCTGTCTAAAAAAACAAAACAAAAAATGAAGGAAGAAATTTTTCTTAACGGTGGTTATAGCTATATGAGTTTATTTCTTGCTGCTCTGTTCTCTTCTGTTCCACTTGTCTACAAGTCTGCTTTTCTGCCTTTGTCATGATGTACTCATTGTAGCTCTTTAGTGTAATTTGGGATCAGGTATTGTGATGCTGCCAGTATTGCTTTTCCTGCCTAGGATTGCTTTGCTAGTTCTGTGAAGAATGCAACCAATGACTATGAACCTATAAATCACTCCTAGCAGTACAATTATTTTTACATTATTAATTTTGTCTGTCTGGGAGTGTGATCTTTCAGTCTTCTAGTTTCCTTTTCCACGTCTTTTTTCAGTGTCTTAAAGCTTTCATTGTAGTGTTTTTTCTCTTCCTTGGTTAGGTTTATTGCTAGCTTTTTTTTTTTTTTTTTTGTTTTTTTGTGGTTTTTTTTTTTTTTTTTTTTGTGTTTTAAAAAGCTTTATGAATACTAGTTTTTTTTTTTTTTTTTTTCTCTCAGAAAGTTTGTTATGGGTATATAGGAAGGCTTCTAATGTTTGCCTGTTGATTTTGTTTCTTACTACCCTTCTGAAATACTTATCAGATCTAAGTTTTCTTATAGAGACTTTAGGGTTTTTTAAGTATAAGATAATGCCATCTAGATTAAATAGATTAGTTTGATTTCTTCCTTTCTTGTTTCTTTTCTTATTTTATTTCTCCCCCTTTTTGTATGTTTTATTACTTTTCTTTTTTTTTTTTGAGATTATAATATAATGACATAACCCTCCCCCTTCCCTTTTCTCCTTCCAAACCCTTCCCTATACCTCTCCTTGTTCTCTTTTAGATTCATGGCCCCTCTTTTTTTCATTAATTATTATCACATACATATCTGTAGTTGTATATGTGTATGTATTCCTAAATATATAAGTCCAAACTGCTCAGTCTTTATAGTCTTAGGTGTATGCATGTTTTCAGGGCTGACCATTTGGTATTGAATAACTAATTGGTGTGCTCTTCTCTGGGGAAGACTATTTCTCCTAATCTCAGCTTTGCTTAATTGCCTGTAGTTCTTTGTAAGGGTTGAGGCCTCCAGAACGTCCCACTGTCCACATTGGCATGTCGGTTATTTGCTCAAGCCATGTTGGTGAGACTTTATAGTTGTAGGTTCTCCAGGATCCATGTAGCTTCTGACATTGCTAAGAGCCAGTCTCACAGCAGACTCCCCAGTCCTTTGGCTCTTACAGTCTTTCTACTGCTCTCTTCTGCAATGATCCCTGAGCCTTAGGTCCATGAGTTTTATAATAAATGTATCCGTTGGGACTGGGCTCTATAACTCTGCTTTTTGGTTTTCTGTAATGGTCTCTCTCATTCTATTGTATAGGGAAATTTCCTTGATAAGGGATGAGGACACAGTTATCTTTGTGTAGAAGAACAAATATTTAGAATGTAGCTAGAGATTATGCTGGCTTAGGAAAGTGGCAGTTGTAGGTTCTTCTCCAAGATCCATTATTTCATTACCCCTGTGTAGTTGGCAAGGTTTCCAATACTAGGTATGATTTCTCTCCTGTTAAGTGGGCCTTAAGTCCAAGTTGAGAGTCAAGGTGCACTCTTAGGGTTATTGTGCCACCTGGTGGTTGTTGTAGTTCATAGGCATCTTAGCTGGGTCGGACCGTTGGTTGCTACTCCTTTGGAAGCTTGCATAGTCCCTTCTGGTACCAAGAAAGCTAGTACACAGGTCAGTTCCAGCTCAAGGGACCTCTGGGCCCTGAGTCTTGTATATTTAGCAACAAGGTCTTACTTATCTTCTACCTCTGAGCAGCATCCAAGGGCAGTCTCTTGAATAACCCTGACTAATAGAACTCAAAAGAGGTCTTATTTATTATGCTTGGTGTTGGAGTTTTTGTTAGATGGTCTTTGCTTCTAGAAGGAGAATTGTTAACCTAGATGAGAGGATTTCATTTAGACTGTATGTTTATACACTGTCTTACTATAGTTAATTTTGAGGTAGATAGTTAATAGCATGATTCCAGCATTTTCAGAAATCTCACTGTTATTAAACCCTCTTCCCTACTTCTGTTGCACTAATTAGAGCCTTCACCCCAGTTTTCCCATTTGTACCCTTGTATCCTTCTGTTCTCTATTGCTCCTTCATTTTCCCCAACCCAACAGTACCTCTTTCTCCTTTCTGTAGTTATTTCAGGGTATGTGCTCACATCTGAAGATTGGATCTAGGGCCTTAGATGATAGAGAACATGTGATGTTTGTCTTTTGGGTCTGGGTTATTTCACTCAAAATTATCTTTCCTGTTCCATCCATTTGCCTGCAGAGTTCTTGATTTCATTTTTCATTACGGCTGAATAGTATCCCATAGTGTATAATGTACCACGTTTTTGTTATCTGTTCGTTGGTTGGATCTGTTTCCTCACTATTGTGAATAGAGCAGCAATGAACATGGGTGATCAAGCATCTGTCGAGTAGAATACCAAGTCCTTTGGGCATATGCCAAGGGATAATATAGCTGGGCCATACATACAGTAGATTTATTTGTAGCTTTTTGAAAGTTCTCTACACTGATTTCAGAGTGGTTTGGCCAGTTTATGATCCTGCCAATGGCGAATGAGGGTTCCATTTTCCTCAACATTCCTTCCAGCATTCGTTGTCAGTTGTTCTTTACCATTTGACTGGGGTTAAGATGAAATCTCCAGAGTTGTTTTGGTTTGCATTTTCCTAATTGCTAGAGACAGTGAACACTGTTTGAGATATTTCTTAGTCTCTCTTTATGAACTCTCTGTTAAGATCCCAGGGTGCCCCCCCTTTTTATTTGAATGAGTCATTTGTTTTTCTCAGTCTTTGTTTTCTGATTAATATATTCTAGATATTAATTCTCTGTTGGGTATGATTTCTTTATGACATCCATACTGTTATTTAACCCTCTTCCCCTTTCTACATTTATCTTCTTCCTATTCTGTGTGTGGTCTTCTTCTTCACCCAGTTGGCTGTTTCTTGTTCAGAAGCTTTCCAGTTTTATCAAGTCCCACTTCTCAATTATTGGCCTTAATTCTTGGGCAAATGGAGATGGATTCAGAAAATCCTTGCCTACATCTGTGTTGCAGAGGGTAGGTAGGTACTGCCTATGTTTTCTTCTAGCATTTTCAGTGTTTCAGGTTTTACATTTAGGTTTTTGATCTATTTGGAGTTAGTTTTTGTGCAAGGTGATAGATACAGGTCTAATCCCATTCTTCTTCCTGTGGACATCTAGTTTTCCAACAACATTTGTTGGAGATACTTTCTTCTCTCCAGTGTATGTTTTTGGCATCTTGTCAAATACTAAATGACTGAAGTCACATGTTCTTAGGTTTAGGTCTTGGATTTTGATATATGTCTGTTTTTGAGCAAGTATAATGTTTTTATCACTACAGCTCTGTAATATATCTTTAGATCTGTAGTTGTAATCCCTCCAGTATTGTTCTTTTTGGTTATCCAGGGCCTTTTACGATTCTCATATGAGTTTTAGGATAGTTTTTTTTTTTTTTTTTTTCTATTTCTATGAAGAATGAGATGGGGGCTTAGATTGTAATTGCATTGAGTCTGTAAATAACTTCTGGTAAAATGACCATTTTCATAATGTTCTGATCCATGAGCATGGGAGCATGGGATGTCCTTCCGTTTTTCCTTCCTTCCTTTATTCCTTCCCTTATTCCTTCCAAGGTTTTCTCCATTTAGGATGTTGTTGGCCATAGGGTTATCACTCACAGCTTTTATTATGTTGAGGTATATTCACGAATATTGCTTTGTATGCTGACGTGGAATAAATAATAATAAAAACTTAGCACACAAAATTTTTATATATATTGTAATAAACTACAGTATATCCTATGTTTGCACCCAACAGTAAAAAAAAAAAAATCAACATTCATATCTAAAAATGCTCATAGTATAAGTGGTTTGTAGAAATCTCAAAACAACCCAAATATCTACAAACTGTAAGCCAAATTATGAAATGTATAATTTATAGTGACAAGTAATGGCAAATGAATTTCAGGGATAAAAAGATGTGCACAAAAAAAAAAAAAAAAGTGGCCGGGCAGTAGTGGTGCACGCCTTTAATCTCAGCACTAAGGAGCCAGAGATAGGCGGATCTCTGTGAGTTCAGGGTCAGCCTGGTCTACTGATCGAGTTCCAAAGCTACAGAGAAACCCTGTTTCAAAAAACCAAAAAGAAAATTAATACGACTGGTGGTGGTGTCTCACACCTTAATCCCACCAGCACTTGGGAGGCAGAGGCAAGTGGATCTCTGAGTTCAAGGGCAGCCAAGGCTATATAGAGAAACCCTGTCTCAAAAAAAGAACAACAACAACAAAAAATTACAGAATGAAACACAACAAAACCCCAAACTTATTATATTATCTGATTTTATGAAATGCAAAACATGCTATTATAGAAACAGGTAATAGAAGTGTTATTCTTTTGTTTAAAAATAAGAGAAATGCTGAGACATGAGACATATTGACTATAAGTTTATTATAAGGCCCAGCAGAATGGGGAGACTAAGAAGAGGAACAGGGGTAAATGGCTGACCGTCATGGCCGGTCGCCATAGAGACAGAGCGAGCGCATAGGTGGGAGACAGAGAGGAAGCTGAGAGGAAACAGAGAGAGCGTAAATGGGCAGGGACCTGTCTTTTAAAGGGGTCCTCTGCACCTGCATGCAGACTTAGTTCCCATGGAACCTTGGGCTGACCAGGGTACTGCCTGTTCCACCAGGTAACAGGGGCAGGCCAGCATAATGCCTGAACCTTTCAAGAAGCCCAAGTAGAAGCAAAATGGGATGGTAGGCAGCTCTGAAAGGCAAGGGAGTTTGTGTCTGGGTGTTTTGCCTGCAATCTGTCTGTGCACCATGTGTGTGCAATTACAGACAGTTGTTAGCTGCCAGTGGATGCTGGGATTTGAATAAGGGTTCTTTGGAAGAGCAGTCTGTTCTTAAGCACTGAACCATCTTTCCAGCCCTGCTCTTTTCTCTTTTTAGTTTTAATTTTAATTTATTTGTTTTGGGTTTTTGAGATAGGGGTTCTCTGTGTAGCACTGGCTGTTCTAGAACTTGCTCAGTAGACTAGGCTGGCCTTGAACACAGAAATTTACTCCCTCTGTCTCCCAAGTACTTGGATTAAGCATCACCCAGATTGTTTTTGTTTGTTTGTTTGTTTGTTTGTTTTTTGTTTTGTTAATTTAGGAATTTCATACAAACGTTAAGCTGAATGTCTGGTAAGCACATCTTGGTTACACTGTTATCCTTGTGTATTTATTTTGTTTCTATTTGCTAGTAAGCTAAAGAAACAAAAGCCCGATCAGTATCTAAACTCTTCCCTTCTCTTCCTTCCTTCACAGACACATATATCTCTAAATTACATTTCCAGATTTTGAATTTGTATCTGTAGTTCTCTAACGTAACAGTATTATGTTGTAGACATGATGAAACAACCAAACTCAAAAAATACTATGGTAAACCATTAGTATTCAAAGTAACTGTTACTTAGAAGTAGTTTGAAGTTGTAATCTCAGTGGTTGGTCTAGATTTTATCATATGTAGTTATTAAAAATATAATTGCAACCTAAATCTCTCAAAGTTAAATATAGGTAACAAATATACTGACTTATATGTTATGTGGTGTAAACATTTGTTTCTAACTTAAAAGAGAACAATAATTACCCAATACAAAAATATATTTGTATTTATAATACTTATTATAAGATTTGTTATGGTACCAGCCTTCTTTCTTATATATCTGATTCTGTATGAATGCATATACCTTGTTTTGTTAATTAATTCCATAGTTTTCATTGTATGCATGTATTGTGAGGTCTTGTTATTTACTGAATATTTATAGCTAGTTTTATTACAGATATCCTTACAGTTGTAAATTTGTGGAATTTCTCCTGTGGGTAGGTATTGTTTTAGAAGTGAGAATTGTTAGTTCAAAGAGTGAATATTTCACATTTTAACACCTTGGCCAGACTGCTTTCAAAAAGGTTGTACTTATTGAGAATCTCTCATAGCTCCTTAGTTAGGCCCTTTTTGCTCTGGCATTCTATGGTGTTTGTATTTTCATAGCCTGTATAACTATGGTTTATTATCAGTCTTTCTTGCTGATTTTATCTTACACCTACATTGGCTAACACAGTGTGTGTTACTTGCATGCAGTAGACATCCATCTAGTATGTTAAAATGGAAAGTTCTTTGTGGCGTTTGTATGTGATGAAGATGGGAGGATAGAGAGGAAGTTTGTTCTTCTGCCTTGTTTTGTCATGGAGTTTCTGCTTCTCTCATATTTGTTGCTTTGACAAGTTCTCGTGGCTTCTCAGTTTTCAGTTTAGTTTGATACATCCTTATATATTTTCTTTTTGCCAGCTGACATCATTTGCCATTGAGAAAGCTTTGCTGATGACTTCTTACCCTCCACAGTTCTCAGTGAAGGGTTTTGCACTGCTGTCTTCCCAGTTTTGTTTTCCAGGAGGGCATCCACAGCATCTTTATTTTACCTGGTACAAACTGGTTTTTTGTGTTAATGATATTTCTCTTTAGTTAATAAGAAGATGGGGGTCTTTGCTAAGTTTAGTATAAATGATGATGCCTTTTAATTTTTCTTCTTTTAGGCATACATAGATTTCTTTTGCTGATTTTCAGGTGGAGAAATTCTTCAAGCCTCAAGGAAAACCAGTGTTATTTCCAGTAATTCCTATATAGGTATCTCCTTTTAATCTGGTGCTGGTCTTTTTTTCTTTTGGCCTAGATAACCTCAAAATCTCTGACTTTGGCTTGGCAACAGTGTTCCGGCATAATAATCGTGAACGCTTACTGAACAAGATGTGTGGTACTTTACCTTATGTTGCTCCAGAGCTTCTAAAGAGAAAAGAATTTCATGCGGAACCAGTTGATGTTTGGTCCTGTGGAATAGTACTTACTGCAATGTTGGCTGGAGGTAAGGCTGTTTAATTATGAGAAAACTTCTTTTCTTTGAAAAGTGAGATTTCTCACACCAAAATAAAAGTGAAATGATCCAAGGGAATGTAAGTCTGAAATAGAAAGGTTGTGAGCCCAGCCTTTAACGGCAGAGCCATCTCTCCAGCTCCGTGATAGTTTAGTGTTTATTTGCTCTGGGCTGCAGGAACAAAGTGCCATATATAGTTGAGTGGTACATTATAAACAGCAGATGTAATCAATTTCATACAAATTATGAAGGCTCAAAGTGTGGGTGATGAAGGTGCAAGCTTGGCCATATTCTGAGGGCCCTCTTTCTGCCTTGTAGTTGACCATCTTACTGAGAGGAGAAGCAGACTCTTTAGTGTCTTCATAAGCACCCAAATCCCACGTTTGAGGGCTTTCCTGCTCATGACCCAATCACCCATCTCCACAGTCATCTCCATGGGAAAGTGAGAGGGAGTGATCTGGCTGCCGTATCTTTCCCTTTGTTGATTGCTGGGGTTGATTTGGCTGATCTGACTGGCAAGACTACTGTTGACTTCCTCTCCTGAAGTTGTGGGTGGGTTGAAGAGAACGACTTTCCCTGAATGGAGGAGGGCCAGCCTTCAGTCAGGTGTATATGAGTAGCTGCAGTCCCCTGCAGAACCTCCAGTCATGCTCTCACATTCATTATCTTGGGGATTGGGATTTCAATATAAAATTTGGAGGGGAAACAAACATTTATTAACTCATTATAATTCACATTTTATTTCTAACTACCTTGAAACTTGTAACCCAGAGAGAGAAGTACAGCTATAAAATGAAAATCTCAACACTTCTTTTGGGGTTGCTAGAGATTGAACCCAAGGCCTAACACCTACCAGACAAGCACTCTGTCACTTAACTAGATCTCTAGCCTTTGTGTGAAAGAGTATGTTTCTATGAAACGTAGTGTAAAAACCGTATTGAATGACGGTAGAGGAAATGTGTATTCTTTTTATGTGTTGATGTGTTGTTCATTTATTCTTTTGTGTGATTATTTTTCCTTGGAATTTTTATTATATAATTTTGTGAACACTCAGGAAACTGAAACCTGTTTCATTTTTAGAATTGCCTTGGGACCAGCCCAGTGACAGCTGTCAGGAATATGCTGATTGGAAAGAAAAAAAAACCTATCTCAATCCTTGGAAAAAAATTGATTCTGCTCCTCTGGGTAACTGGCTGTTAGATTGAAATATTGATTTTTTTGGTAATAAAGTCTTATGCTAGCTGATCCTTCCTTCCTTCCTTCCTTCCTTCCTTCCTTCCTTCCTTCCTTCCTTCCTTCTTTTTTGTTTTTTTTTTTTTTTTTTTTTTTTTTTTTTTTTTTGTAAATGTAAGTAACCCATAGTCCTTTTAGCTAATTTAGAAGATATAAGTAAAAATTAAAAACATGGTTGGGCATAGTGGCACACGTCTTTAATTTCAGCATTCAGTAAGCAGAGGCAGGTAGATCTCTGAGCTTGCCTGGGCTACATAGGGAGTTTCAAGCCATCCAAGACTACATAGTGAAACCTCATCTCAAGAAATAGAGTGGGAAGGAGGAAGGATACAACTCTAATTGTGGCATTTGGAAATAGTCTTTTAAAGGTGTTCTGATACATGTGTCCATTCTTTCATGTAAAAAAATATATAGCAAATATATACTAATTTTTACTTCTGTAAAAATTAAACTATTGTACTTACATTTCATAACTCTTGGTTTTGATACTCAGCATTTCCTATGTCTATAATCAGGGGTCTGGATCACACTTTTTTTGTTTGTTTTTTTCCGAGACAGGTTTTCTCTGTAGCTTTGGAGGTGTCCTGGAACTTGCTCTGTAGACTAGGCTGGCCTCGAACTCACAGAGATCTGCCTGTCTCCTGAGTGCTTAAAGGTGTGCGCCACCAATGCCCGGCTGTTGGATCACACTTTTAAGATTGAAGGTGTTCATTATATGGATATGTCTTACTCATCCAGTTTAGATATTTAGGTGTTTTTCCTTTAATTTTACTTTTAGCGAGGAGGTAGGATAAGCATCCATGCTACTTAATGCTTGTGTATATCCTATAATTATTTGCTTAAAAATTTTCCCTTCTCCCACAAGCAAAACTACAGGATTAAGAGGATATGTATTGTTTTTTCAGTGTTTATGGGCTTATTTTACAAATTTACTTTTTAAAAAGTTTGTACCATTCATCATTTATTTGCATTACTTTTTTTGTTATATTTTGAACACTGGGTTTCATTATGTATCTCTGACAGGCCCAGAACTCACTGTTTAGACCAGGCTGACTTTCATATTCAGAGAGAGTAGTCTACCTCTGCTTACTGAATACTGGGATTAAATGTGTGTGCCACCATGCCTTGCAAAAATACTTTTTTAACCAATAAGTCTGTGACTGATATTGCTTCTTAAGTTTTAGTTTACATTTAATATTAATAGTGAGTTGCCTATCCCCTTATTTAACTTACCAGCTTTTTCAGTTTTGCTTAGTTTTGGCAATGAAATTTATAGTTTTTCTTAAACCTTTGGGGTGTTTTTTCCAAAAATGTAGTAGTATTTATTTGACCATTGTGTTTGTTACGGTATTTCCTAGAATTTGTCATTTATTTTAATTGTACTGGTTATTTTAATATGCAAATGTTTTAAATTTTCATTATCTAGAATTTTGTCATCTGTGGTTTCTGACTTATATTGCTATGTCTAGAAAGATTTTTTTTCTATCCTGATACTCTTTTCTTTTTTTTTAAGCTTTTTGTGTTCTCATTTAGTGTTTATATGGTTTAATTTTTACATTTTCTTCTTGTTGGCGTTGATTTTGAACCAGTCTCATTTTTCCCAAGCTGATGCCTAAGCTCAACTTTGTGGCAGAGGATGACCTTGATGCTCTAGTCTCTCCCTCCAGATACTGGTAGTCTGATGCTAACATGCGTGGCTTGTTTGCTTTTGGAGATAAGGTCTCCGTTAGTCCATGCTGGCCTGAGACTTAGCCAACTGTGGCAATCCTTTCAGCCTCCTGACTGTTGGCACTACAAGCTTGAGTCACTTTTCATTCCTGGTTTGCATTTTTGATGCTGGAAGTGTATGAGGTTCTTTTTAAAATTAATACATATGGCCCAGGCTGGCCCCATTCTTAAACACCCTGCCTGTGCTTCTCAAGTGTGCCACGTGCCTGACTTTTATGTCTTTTAAGTTTTGTTTAATCTGCTTAACTCTTTTACCAATACACTCTTGTTTTGTTTTCAGCTTTGCTTCATAAAATTCTAGTTGAGAATCCGTCAGCAAGGATTACTATCCCAGACATTAAAAAAGATAGATGGTACAACAAACCACTTAACAGAGGTAAAAAAAAAAAAAAAAAAAACCACCTCAAACCCGTGTCGGAATTTTGATTTGTTCAAATGAAGATTTTAATATCTGATAGGAAAACACAAATTCGAAATTAGTTTTGTTATTAACAACTAAAAAGAGTGCTGCAGCTCAATAATTGGATGAAGTCTAATGAAACAAGGAAGACTTTTCCTCATGAGGAAATGATATGAAACCTAAATATTGAAGATTAAAAGGAGCTAGCAGGCGAGGCATGTTTGATTCTGTTCAGAAGCAGCAGCATTTGGACAAATCTTAGATTTCGTACCTTGAGTGTGTTTGAAGAACTTGAAAAAGGTCAGCTCACTATGACTTGGGCCTTGTGTTTCGTGTTCATCATTAACCAGTGGTTAACATGGTAATTGGTGTGTTGTAGGTACTCAGTAAATGTGTGCTGAGTGAGTGAATTGGAGAAGTGGGAGAGTGAGAGGTTTGAGGTGGTTCAGGAACTGCAGATAGCCAACTTACAGGAGGGCTTTATGAGCTATGCTAAGGATTTGTCCTGGAGCTTGCCACCATTAGGACAAGTTTGAGGGGCTTCAAAAAAGCAAGACAATGACAAGTTGATGTGTTTGGTTTTAAAAGATCTTTCTGAATACTCTTTCATAATTTGTAATGAATAGGAAGAGATTATGTAATGTGGGCTTTTACAGTAGTAGTTCAGATGTGAGAAGATGGTAGATTGAAGTACATTGGTTATGGCATTGCAGAAAAGTGATGGATTTCACCAAGTTCAAGAGCTTAATTGATTGGACTGGTGAGTGCTTAGGTAAAGGGTGGACTATAAAGATTCCATGGTGACTCCTGGGTGCTGTTCTGTTAACTCAGGGGGAGAAACTTTGGAGCTGAGTAATCTCTCTCTCTCTCTCTCTCTCTCTCTCTCTCTTTCTCTCTCTCTCTCTCTCTCTGTGTGTGTGTGTGTATGTGTGTACACTAAGCTTCAGATACCAATTATCGGGAATTTAAACCATGTTAAGTTAAGTGTGAGGAATGGCTATTTAAGTGGAAGGTAGAAACTAAGAAACAAAAAAAAAGTGCCAAAAGGTGGATGGAACATTTATAGAACATGAGGTAATGGAGACTAAGAATGTTCCGTAACAGTAGAGGTTTTGTTAAATGGATTAATATCACAAAGGCTTAATCTTTCAATTGGATTCCATGATCTGGTGATGATCTTAGTAGGAACAGTTTCCATGGAGAGTATTGAATGAATTCTGGAGTCCAGTGATTGTGGTGTAAGAGGCCAAGAATCAGAGAAAATCATGTTAGACAACTTAGATAAAAATTTGGAGTGGAAGGAGAGAGGACAGTTGTCTAGAGAGGAATGAGGAATTTATCTTTATTTCTCTGAATGTGATTTCTTACTTGTTCTGTTTGAAATTCTGAAATTCACGCAGAGGATGTGGTGTATGTTTCTTCCCCACACTTTCATGTCCTTGGGTCAAGAAGAGGGGGAGGTGTCCTGATGCTTCACTATTATTTTGTTTATCTTCCCACATTCTTCCTCCATTAAAAAGTTCATCATCATATTGTGCTACCCACAGTTCCTACCTTATTACAGTAACCTACTGGGTCTCAGATTAAAATTCCTGCCATATTATCGTTGTCTCTAATAGGACTTTTTGTTATGCTTCTACCTAATTTTAGTTTCACTGTGTAGCCCCCACTGGAATTGTCCTTGGAGTCCTTCTGCCTCCTTCACAGCCTCTGAGTGATGAAATTATAGGCCTATGTTCCCATACCACCATGATAAACTTAGTCATGGAGCTTGGCTGTCAAGTGTTCATTTGGATGATCTTTTCTGTATCCTGACTTCATAACTCCTTGAGTTTTCCTCCTTTAATCATCTTTAGACATCTTACTCTGATTGCCACTCTAGATTATTTCTGGCTTCTCCCCTTTTTTTAGGTGCTGTGACTTCAGCAATCCTTTGACTCTTACTGGGCTTAGAATCTATTAATTCTGTCATTTGACTGTCTGTTATGTCCCCAGATGCTCAGTTCCATCCTTACCTATCTTAAATCCCAAGATAAGTATAACTTCTTCTTTTAAACAGTCACCCTCTACTTCCTTGCTTCTTTTTTTATACTTACTAGACAAAATTCAACCCAACTTAGTCTAGTTTTTGCCTATTTCCTATACTGGTAAATCTGATTGTACTTGAAGAAAGATGTTCATGATAGGCAAACTCTTTTTTTTTTCTTCCCCCTTTAAGTACAAAGTTTCACCACATAGCTCAGCTTGGTCTCCAGTTTGCATCCTTCCTGAATGCTGAGATTACAAACTTGTGGTATCATGCCTGTCTTTTTGTAAACTTTAACATATTCTCAGTTTATAACAACATGCTCTATTTAATGGGAAATAGAGGTAGAGGCAGTGGACTTTATAAGCTCACACCGCCATCACTTCCCATCTGTCTCTGTAGACCACTGAGTATCTGTTGCTGTGGATAAACATAAATTGACTCTTTCTCTTTTCTACTTATGGATATAATTTAGCAATTATCCTTTCTCCTGCATTATTAATTTTTCTTCTACTGGATCTTTCTCATCATTGTGTCAACATAGTGTTTCTTTCATCCTAAAATTAGTTCAATAAGCTACATGTTGTGGCTCTGCCTGTAATTCCAGCACTCAGGAGGAGGGTAAGGCAGGAAATCAAGAGTTCAAGGCCAGCTGGGGCTGTGTAAGACCCCATTTCTAAACAAAACCGTGGTGGCAGTAACAACAACAAAGGAACAGTTAGATAAGTATAGATACAGTTTTGTTACTGCTTGTTTGAGACAGTCTCATTGTGTCCTAGTCTGACGCTTACTATGAATAGCCCAGACTGGTTAGACTGAAGGTAATCCTGCCTGAGTGCTGGGATTACTGGTGTGTATCACTATATGTGACTGGTAAAACTATTTATTATTAATTTCTTTCATTTTACAACTGAGCATCTCAAAAAAAGGTTTATTTGTGTGTGTGTATGTGTGTATATACACATGCCACAGCATACCTGTAAATATCTGGGGACAACTTTTTAGAGTTGGTTCTCATTTTCTACTTCTGGGGACAAATGCAGGTCACTAGTCTTGTGTGGCAAATACTTTTGCCCACTGAGCTGTCTCTCTGGCCTTCAAAAGGTTTCTGATTTTTCACACCTCAAACGTAGTTTCATGGATTTTTTTCTTTTTTTTTCTGTGTACTCTGTTGTTAATCACAGGTGGCTTATCTCACCTACCTAATCCAGCTCTCAAACTTTATCCTTTTGTTTGAACTTCAACATTTTATACAATCGATCTTGCCTTCTTCAAGCACTGTCCTCTGACTTCCACACGGATTTATTACTTTATGTGTATTAGTGTTTTGCTTGCATGTGCTTGTGTACCACACGTGTGCCTGGGTGCCCTAAAAGGCAGAAGAGGGCACTGGATTCCCTGGGATTGGAGTTCGCAGATGGTTGTGAGCTGCCATGTGCTGCTGGGAACCAAGCCTGGTTGGTCCTGTGTAAGAACAAGAAGTGCCCTTAACCACTGAGCCATCTCTCCAATCCCTCCATTAGGATTAGTCTATATATTGATGATGTAGCAATTTCTATCAAGCACGATTTGTCCCAAACTGAGTTACTGATCTTTTTTTTTTCCCCTTCAGACTTTTCTCTATTGTCTTTCATTTTGGTTCATGAGAACTTATATGCAAATCAGAAACCTTGGAGACATCTTCCATTTTCTTACTTCATGTATAGTCTACCAGGAAATTATATTCATCTCTATCTTTAAAAATTCCAAACTTCAAAATACACTATAAACTTGTTTGTAATTGTCAAAGAATAAATTAAAAAGCATTTTTAAAAAAACATTCCAGAGCCTGGTGGTGGTGGCGAACGCCTTTAATCCCAGCTCTTGGGAGGCAGAGACAGGTGGATCTCTGTGAGTTCAAGGCTAGCCTGGTTTATAGATCGAGTTCCAGGATAGCCAGGGCTACACAGAGAAACCCTATCTCAAAAGCCAAAAAGATCCCCCCAAAAACAACAACACAAAAAACATTCCAGAGTCTGACCACCTTCAGTGCAATCCTAACAGTCTCTTTCTAGAGTGGTCTGATTTTAAAAGAAGTTAGGAGTGAGGCATGATAGCTCATACCTGTAATCCTTGCACTGGTTGCTAAGACAGGAGGATTGGTCTATAGTCAAGCTACATGTGGTGTTGAGTTCTAGGCAAGCATAAGCTGCAATGTGAGACCATGTCTCAAAAAAAAGGTCTGTTCTGTTCAAAACATTCCAGTGCTTCACTTCTCACTGAGAAGCTGAGTGCTCATGATCTTTGAGGTCTTACAATCTGTTTCTTTTTTCCTCTACCCCCGATCTTAGCCTGAAGGCTGAGAAATCCTCTGTTATTACTTCTAGACTTCAAGGCTGCTTTTCCTCCCCTGAGTTATAGCTACATTGGTCCCTTCATTGTTTTCTCATCACTCCAGGTACACATTTACCTCGTTGTTTTAGTGATATTGTGTGTGAAAATGCTTTCCCTGTCCGAGACTTATTTGCATGGATTGTTGCCTTCCTTGGTCACTGACCAACCAGCAAAACTTTCAAACTGTACCCACTTCTCCCAGTGTATTTGTTTGCATTATTTTACTTCATTGTCGTTACCAGCATTACCTTACTGTACTAAGCTTTGTCTTTTTTTTTTCTTTGGTTTTTCGAGACAGGGTTTCTCTGAGTAGCTTTGGAGCCTATCCTGGCACTCGCTCTGGAGACCAGGCTGGCCTCGAACTCACAGAGATCCGCCTGCCTCTGCCTCCCGAGTGTTGGGATTAAAGGCGTGCGCCACCACCGTCCGGCCTAAGCTTTGTCTTTACTGAATAGAATGTTAAGCTTTAGGAGGTTGGGGCTGGAGGGATGGCTCAGCAGTTCAGATCACTGACTGCTTTTCCAGAGGACCTGGGTTTGATTCCAGCACCTACATGGGGACTGGCCACACCCATGTGTAACTCAAACCCCAGGAGCTCTGGCAGTCTTTGGCCTCTGAGGGCACTGTATTTGTGTGGTGCATAGACAGGCAGACAAAATACATATTCACATAAAGGAAAAAAGTTTAAAAAGATTTAGGAAGTTAGTGTTTTTTGTCATTTTTGTTCACTATTGAATACCTAGTACTAGGGTAAGGCCTGGTGTTACATAACCCAAATTTTAGTGTATGGATTAATAAAAATATTGGTTAACACTAAGCATTATTAAGTAGATTTATGGATAAATCTAATAGATGTAGGTGTGTTCAATGTTTTGATATCATGATCCAGTGTTCATAGTCAGGAACTGCACAAGAGTTCAAATGTTTTTGTATTGGACTGTAACTGTACCTATGCTTGACTGAAAATGGCTGTGGGCTGACCTCACCTGCTGCGGGAAGAGGCTGAAACTCTTAAGAAAAGGGAAATGAGTAAGCGAGCATCAAGATCATGGTTTCTGAGGAAGATGTATGTCTGTGTCTGTGTGTGCATGCTTGTGTGTTGAGGAAGGGGTAATGGGCACACAGTACAAGTATTAGGCTTGGCATTTGAGGGGAGGTTGCAAGGAGGAAGAGAGGCATAAGCAAGTATATTTACAGAGTTGGAGATGACATACTGAGTTGGTTCAGGTCTGTCAGCATTATATTTTCTAAAAGTAGGATAGGATATCATGTTAAGTAATGAAGGAATGGAGGTTGGTATTGATAATTTCAGAAGACAATAGAAGTTTTGGAATAATCTTTTTTGAGGAAGTGTGAGATGACAGTCTAGCTGAGGAATGAAAATTTAAGGTGGCTTCATTTCTGTATCATGGCAGAAAGCTTCTTCAAGGGGGTATCAGTTGGAGCAGATTCAGTGTTTACGCTCATAATAATGAATTATTTAAAAATTTTAAAAGTTTTAGTTGTTTAGCTAGTCCTTTGTTGACCGTCATGTTACTCATAAAAGAGGTTGTTAAAATTATGGCGTTAGTGAAGCACTAATGTAACATTTCTTTTTATATATTTTATGTTCAATAAATGGATTTACATATGGCTCTACTTATTCAAATTGCCCGTTGTATTAGTTAATACTTTCATAGAAGATTTGTATTTGTTCCTTTTTAGGAGCAAAGAGGCCTCGAGCCACTTCAGGTGGTATGCCAGAGTCTTCTAGTGGATTCTCTAAGCAGATTCATTCCAATTTGGACTTTTCTCCTGTAAATAATGCTTCCAGGTAAGAATTACATTAATAATTTTAACTGAACTGGAACTTGGTCTTGAACTTGTACTAATCCTCCTGTGTCTGCTTCCTGAGAGTTGGGATTTCAGGTGTGCACCACCATACATTGGCAGATTAAGTTGTTTTTTTTTTAATGTGATTATTCCCCATAAACAATAAAACATGTATATATTTTACTTAATTAGGCAAATAATTTCACCAAAAATGAGAACAGTTGTGATATAAGAAAGGCCTGGTGGGTTTTATTTAAAGACATTTTTAGGCTAATACTGTAGCACACATGATATAATTACAGATAACTGCAAATTAGGAGGCTGAGTCAGGAAGATGGACAGTTGCAGGCCAGTCTAGGCAGCAAGATGGCAAGATGCGATCTTGTCCCCAAAAAAAAAAAAAAAAAAAAAAAAAAAGAAACACAAAATAAGTTGTTAAAATGAATGAAATCACCTTAAGAACAGACAATTAAAGACATTTCTTTTTTCCTTTTCAGTGAAGAAAATGTGAAGTATTCTAGTTCCCAGCCAGAGCCACCGACAGGGCTTTCCTTGTGGGACACTGGTCCCTCATATGTTGACAAACTTGTACAAGGCATCAGTTTCTCACAGCCTACATGCCCTGATCATATGCTTGTAAACAGTCAGTTACTCGGTACCCCTGGATCCTCACAGGTAAGGAATTTAGTTTTTCAAATAAATAAATGTTACCTTTTATTTTTGTTGTTAAATCTTGGCCTATGGGATTAATACTTTTAGTTGATGCATATTATTTGCATAAGGAAGAAATAATTAGAGGAGGCCTTTATGGGTGAGAATCCAAAGTCAAGGGAAAGAATTTCAGACTAACTGCTATAAACTGGTCACATGGAATTTATCCTGCTTTCTTCTTTGTGGTATAGAACCCCTGGCAGCGCTTGGTCAAAAGAATGACACGCTTCTTCACCAAATTGGATGCAGACAAATCTTACCAGTGCCTGAAAGAGACCTTTGAGAAGTTGGGCTATCAGTGGAAGAAGAGTTGTATGAATCAGGTGTGTTTTGTTAGTTTTCAGTATCTTTTTAACCATAGAAAATTATAAGTATTTAAATAAAAGATATCAGTAGTCAGTGAATGTTTTGAAAATACAAATAATCAATTTGAAAAAGAAACAGTTGAAGGCTTTAAGGTTTTTGTTTTTGTTTTTGTCCAAAACCTCTAAGGTTAGTATTTTTATATTAAGCTGCAGTTGACGATGTCCTTATCTCCATGTTTGGGTCTTACTTGCCCTGGCTCTTGTCTGTGCCTTTTGTTTTTTTCACATCAGTCATCTTGGCTGAACTACCTTATAGTCTGTGAGAATATCTGAAAAAAAAAAACACAAGTGAACAGGAATGAGGAACTGAAATGGGAGTTGCAAGACCTCTCCAGGCCTTCACCGTCACCTTGTTGTTATTGCAGCTTTTCAGCCATAGAGACAGCTTCTTGTTTTCTTTCTCATATATGAGATTGATTGTTTGACTATAGTAATGGGGATTGAACTCAGGCCTTATTCATGTTAGGCAAATGCCCTGCCACCAAGCTATATCTCTAGTCTTCATTATATTCCTATTCCTTTCAGTCATTTCTTTTTTTCAGTTCTGCTTTGTTGCTGAAAGTACACTTAGACTGAGTTCTACTTACAGCTTGGTTTAGATTAGATGCAAAGGTGCCCATTGGAGAGAGTTATAGCAGTCTTTTTTTATTTTTTTAAGATTTATTTTTACTCTTATGTGTACACGACTATGTCTGTGCATCTGTGTGTCAGTGTCTGTTATAGAGGCATCAGACCCTTTGGAGCTAGAATTACAGGAGATTGGGAGCCTCCTGACATGGGTGCTGAAAATGGAACTCAGGTCCTCTGGAAGAGTGAGCATCAAGTGCTCTTAACCTGAGCTGCCTTTCTAGCCCTGTAATTTATAGTGTTCTTCATGCCACTCCTGTCATGCGAGGATTTTACTATACATTTTTATCCCAAAAGTATTACCGACCTGTTGATAACAGATATTTCGTTAAGAGTATTTTCTGTTTGTGTGTGTGTGTGTGGCTTGACTTTATTTTTATTGCCTTAGGTTACTGTATCAACAACTGATAGAAGAAACAATAAGTTGATTTTCAAAATAAATTTGGTAGAAATGGATGAGAAGATACTGGTTGACTTCCGGCTTTCAAAGGTATTTTTTTATGTTTCATTTATAGTTTGTTTTTTTTTTTTTTTTTTTTTTTTTTTTTTTTTTTTTGGCAGA